CGACTAATCCGGAATCGAGCCATAAAATTATTTGTAATTATTGCTGGAACCATAAAAGTAATTATTGATAAGTACAAAAGGACTCGTTGGACTTTTACTACTATGTTATGTACCATAAAAAAATAATTATTGATAAGTACAAACAAACTCCCAACAAATTATTAAGTAAATCTAAATCTCCCATAGATTTTTATGTAGATTTTTATGCTGTTAGAATCGAACTTTTGACATTTCAATTAGAACGTTAAGTTTTATCAAATCGAGTCGAGTTTCACCTCTAATAAATCGAGTTCAGGAGACGGCTCTAGTGATATATTAGCGAAAATTTACAAGTTTAGGAGTCGGCTCTAATGATATATTAGCAAAAATTTATTAATAGATATTAATTGATCTCAAACAAATTTGTACTCTATTTTTTAAAAAATCATGCTTTGTAACTAGGTTGAATATAACAAAATATTTTTTTATAACTTTATATATATATATATATATATACATATATATCAAATTATTTGTCTTTTAATGGTTTGCAATTTGACTTCATATTAAATATATAAAATAGAAAACAATGATATATATTTAACTGGATTAAAATTTATATTAAAAAAACAATAAATTATCGTATAAAGCAATTGAAACTGACTTATTTTAATATTTAATAAAATTGTTATTTTAACTGGAAGAAAATATATATGCTATGTGTGATGAACATGAAATAAAATTAAAAAAAAAATATTCTAAAATTTATGTTTCAACTTAAATAAAGATTACAAAATGATTGAACATCATAGTGATATTAAAAATAAATCTTAGTACACATGATAATTAAAAATAATAAAAATAAATGATTATGTTTCATATTACACTGATACACATTATATTTTATAATATTGGATATTATAAAGTTGTTGATATTTAATAATATAATAGATGAGGGAAGAAAATCATAGAGGCACAAATGTCCCAACACAAAAAATCCAACCCTATCGATGAGAGAAGTTCTTTCCGTTTGATGATACACGCATTAATGAGATGGGTTTTTTTACCGTCGAATCACATATGTTCACACTCGTATGGATGTGTGTTGATCTGACAGTAAATCTAGCGTCATCAATGAGTTTTTTTACCATCGGATGACATAGATGCCTCAACACATAAAGTTCAATCATACACATTATGGTACTTTTCATCGCCGTCCATACACAATCACACATCCGTACGAGTGTTCCCTCATCCAACATTAAGAAACATCATCATCATCGGACTTTTACTATCGAATTAGACACACTCATATACACTCGTACATATATGTTGTTGATGGACGACCGCCAAATGTTACTGTTGACATCAATTGGGCAGTTAAATCGGGGGCTACAACCTATTTTGTGAAGTAATTAAAGTCAGAAAATCAGAAAGAATATCAACGGATTCACACAAAATAGGAAAGTAAGGATGCGATGAATAAACAAAACATCAATATTGTCGATCGGTTGTGGCGATTTCTATAGAAATTTTATTGAGAGAGTATGTATTACATGCGAAGTTTGTGTGGAGTTGGCGATTGTATTTGATTGAATAGTGTTTGTGGCATTTTTTGTGATCTCGTTGATGTTTAAATGTTCCTTGCCACCTAGAGGCAAAGAGTGATGCCACGTGTTTTCATGCAATAACTCTTATTTTGAGGATGACAACTTGGGCGGTGGTTTTATCAGCTAACATCAATCTTACAGGAGAAGATTTAGAGAGCGATCGACAAAAGCCTTTATATGCCAATCATGGGAGATATGTAGACTCGGCTAGTGTTGCTTTCTGGGTCGATCGTGTCCTTCATGAGCTTGTTGGTTGCTTGGACTTGTGTAGGCCCAATTGTTTGTCTGCTTCTGTCTTGGTTGGTTGGACCCGCCTTTAAGGAAATCGGATATAACATATGTATCTATTCAATGGCAAATAAACTCGTTAACAACAGAATATTAACACGAATTTAGCCCTCGACAAATACAACAATGCGTGGGCAAAAATTACTTCCTCAGAAACGAAACATGCTACAAAGACGTAAGGGATGACACAAGTTTAACATAATAGAATACATTAGGATCTTACTACTCTACACATCACTATACTTTTAAAACTATTAATTATTTACCATACACATGCTAAAATAAAATTCTTCATATCAGGTATCACGGTCTTGCTACTCTACAAATCATGCTACTTTTAAGTCAATAAATTATTAAACATATACATTTGTTTGGCAATCAACGGATAGTGTAGCGCCAGCTTATATTCTTTAGAAAAAAACTAAATTTTCAGAAGTAATATGAACTTTAAAAACATTTTTCTTTAGAACTCTTCAGCTCTACTTATAAATCTCTCTTTTTTGTTTTTCTAAACTTATTGAAACTACTCTTATTTTACTTAGAACTTAACTAAAGTCTCTTACTTAAGTTCTTATGCGAACCCTCTTCCCAAACCACTATCTTAGCTTCTTAATTATTTGAGACATAATAAAACTTGGATTAAAGGAAGTTTCAAAACACCACCGTCTCAATCTCAGTAATCCAAAATAAACATTAAGTCTGAAATATCTGCAAAAGCATAAACATAAATAATGTAAAAGGACTACCCTCGCCCTTTTGTGTCCGTTGTCCGCTGCTTATTCAGTATACACTAGTTCACCGTGGGAATATACTATGCGGTTATTCAGTATAATAACAAATATCATAATATTAGCATGGATATGAATAAATTTGTTTTTGAAATCATCCGTCGGATACATGGGACGCTCCCTAGCCGACGAAGGACGACTATCTCATGTGAACACACTTTCACCGTCAGATACATGGGACGCTCCCAACCAACGACGGGAGATCTAACTGATGCCTACGCTCAGGCAAATACTCACATACCTATCTCAACTACAATTTCATGCGATTATAAAGAATAAGACATAGTATTTTAGATATATCCACCTTGAATGTTGAATGCAAATGATGATGATTGAATGCTCAGTTTATTCTTGAGGGCTCAACTCCTCTTAATATACAAGTTTAACAATTTATTTAATATAATACTTTACTTAAAGAATTATTACGATAAATTCTTGACTTAAATAAATAACTTAATTAATTTATTAACTTCTCTTCTTGCTACCTCTGTCTCACTTCTTAAGCTCGACTAGAGTTATTGGATAAATTTATCTTAAGGCCCAAAAATTTAATTTTTACCTCGGCTAGGGCTCGACTTCAAAATACAAAAAACTTGACTCAAGCTAACACTTAGGCACACGCGACATTCGAAATTAGATCATATCTTTTAACCTAAAACATGCCTAGTCCTGGATCTTTATTCAACCAAACACTAAGAGGCATAACTACAACAATTTTTAATCAATCACTATTTTTAACTGAAATCTAACTCTAACTTCAAATCAACCAAATTATCTTCAATACTATCAATATGATTAAATAATAACAATCATTAATTCTTACGCATTACATCAATTTAAATTCACTATTCATCCACTCACATAATTTTAACTAACCACCACTTCACGACGAAGAGGGTTTAGCGCAGTGGCGCATACCTCGCTCGGCGTATCCCATATCCCGAGTTCGAGTCACTCAGAGGGAAATTGGGGAACCAGTATTAATCCTCATGTGTGTGTAAAAAAAAAAAACTAACCACCACTTCACATTATCTCTCTCTTACTTTTACATCAAATCCATTATATTATTTTAAATATTACTATAATATAAACTCAAAATTTTACTAACAATAAACAATTCCACTTTTTTTTTTTTAAAAAAAAATATTAACTAAACAAAATCAAATAATTCAAATACAACAATTAATTAAACAAATCAAAAAAATCCAAACAAAACCAAAAATTTTCCGAGCAAGAAAGTTGCAATGCATTTACCAAACAAAAACTTATTTATTTGTCATCTATTTTTTCTTTTTCTTTTTCTTCTTTTCGTAACTCCAAAAATTCCGATTTTCTCCTTCGATTTTCCGATCTCCGACATCTGTCTCCCACCACGCCCCTATTAAAAACCCCGCCGTGAAACCCTCTCTCTGTCACTCGGAACACGCAGATTCTCACGCACTGAACGTGTGACCCACTGTGTGAGTGCCGTGATGTAGATACATACCCTTATTTTGTATCTACATCCTTGTCCGTTTGTATGTATGTATGTATGTATGTGCTGACCATGAAGTGAAGCAGCTCTGTGATTTGTATTTGTGATCCACTAATTTTAGGGAAAAAAGCATTAAAAAAAGAATAATATAACGGTAGTATGAGGACGCTGTGCGACGTTTGCGAGAGTGCGGCGGCGATTCTGTTCTGCGCGGCGGATGAGGCGGCGCTTTGTCGGGCTTGCGACGACAAGGTATTAAATGTCCTAATTTATTTCTACCCATTTGTCTGCACGAGCAAGGGGAGTAATTGGTTCTTTGTTTTGATTGTTTGGTCGAGCCTAATTTGAGATTTTTAGTTCTTGATTCTGTATATGTGATGATAATTAGTGAATTTATGGTTATGAGATCGGTTAGCTTTTGTTTTTCGATTTTTGATGTGTTTTGGTTATAAAGATTTGTAATTTCGTAAAGTATAAGTGTGTCCGAACTGGAAAATCTGATGTTTTTGGTGTTAAACTAGTGGATTTTAATTTTTGATATGTGCTAATGTCTTTGTCTGGTGGAACATACAATTTGTTTCACATTACACATGTTTTGGGTTACGATTTGCCTTAGCTATGGCTTGAGCCTTGAAAAGAGCTCCTTTTAAAGTTTGGTATTAGTTCGATGCGTATTGCGGTGGATGGAATAGTTTTCTTGCTCGGTTATGCGCAAGAACCCTCCTTATAGGATCTTAACTAGGTTATTCTTGGCTAGAACAAATCATAGTCGATTGTCAAACTGAAGAAAGGTTACATGAGTTTAGTGTCGAGACACAGAGAATTTCATAGTAGCGTTGAAGTTTTTTTTATTATGGTTTCACAATTTGAAATTAGCTCTCACCATAATTCAAGTTCACTTTACCTTATTACCTAGCCTTATGTCCTCTTACCCTTCATGTCAGGTCCATATGTGCAACAAGCTTGCCAGCCGGCATGTACGGGTCGGGCTGGCCGAGCCAAGTGAGGTTCCACGGTGTGACATATGCGAAAATGCTCCCGGTAAAAAGCTGCTTCTTTGATCTACTTCAATATTTGGAAAAGAAAAAAAAAATAAAAAAAATTGTCTTCCTGTCCTAAAATGTAGTTTTCCTTGTCAACCGTGTGTATATGTAGCTTTCTTTTATTGTGAGATCGATGGAAGTTCCCTTTGCCTTCAATGTGACATGATTGTTCATGTCGGTGGTAAAAGAACCCACGGAAGGTATCTCCTTCTCAGACAGAGAGTTGAGGTTTGTGGTTTGTTTGCTTGTATTAGAGGTGTATTGGTTCTCATTTTGCAGACATGAAAAGAAAAACTTTTTTTTTTTTGGTGATTGTATAGTTTCCAGGTGACAAACCTGGCGGGGTAGACGAGCCAGGGTCTCAAAAGGTTAATATTGGTGAAGGGAAAAGAGAAATGTCTAGTCTTAGACCGAAAGATAATAATCAGCAAAATCACCGGATAATTTCGAATGATCAAATAATGGGTAATAATGATGAAGGAGATGGGAAAATGGAGAATAACTTGATTGACCTCAATGCTAGACCTCAGAGGATATACAGACAAGCTCCAACTAACCAGGTTTATTTTATTTTATTTTATTTTATTCTTTTATTTCATTAACTAGACTCATTGTTCATGTTATGACTTTTGTGGGTTTATGATTTTGAAAATGCACCGTTTTTGTCTTTTTTCTTGGAAGGAACAAGTGAATAATTTGGTCGAGAACAATCATGGATCCACTAGTGTAGTTCCAGATGGATACCTCAGAAGGGAGCCTGATAAGTAATGAAGGTATACCGCAGAAGCCTTTGGTGTTTTCATGGTGAACTTTCGAACAAATGGGTTTTACGGCAAAATTGTGTACTGTTCTTTTGTTTGGCAGCATACACGGAGCTAAAAAGAAGGATATACTTAGTTATTTTGTGAAACACATTGGATTGCTTAGATTTATATACGTCCAGCATCTCTTTCAATAGTTGAAAATTTCTGAAAAAAGGATAATTTTATTGTATTACTCCAAATTATTGCCATGAGTTTTGAATATATCCCAACATCTGTTTCATTTTTTCCTTCCATGGTTTGTTGACCGAAAACTAAGTATAGATCTTCTACCATCTCCAAGAAGCAAAATTTTTTCATTAGTTCATTTTGACGAATAAAAAATATCAATTTTTTATTTTTTTTTCGTTTTTCCTGCACTTTGACTGCAGATTTTGAGCACGAGCAATGGAGTGGGGTAGCCTTGCAAAGTCGAGATGACTTTTTGCATTAATATTTTGTGAATCCTAGAAATTGTGCAGCCTCTGGTAAGCAAATCTATTCTTGAAGAAGTTAGAAGTTTGTTGATGATCTGTGTAAATTTTCTAGGTTTGGGAATCTCCAATAAACTGCACAGAGAGATTTCTAATTTTTTATTTTTATTATCTTTTCATTTTTGGTCTCGATTTTTTGTATTTTCTTTGCCCGGTTTTTTTGTTTTCTTCCACTCCTAAGGGCTTGGTAGAAAATCGAATTTAGCTTTCAGGATTGAGGTCATGTAATTGCTACTCCAGGCTCACTTTGGTATGAAATTGAAATGAAATTGTGTGTTTACAACTATATTGTTTAGCTTTGTTCAATTGCCCTTAACCAGGTTGTGTCTGCTAAGCATATAAGCTAGCTTATAACTTATTTAATTAGCTTATAAGCTTTTTGTATTCAAATAATCTTGGCTTGGTAGGACTATCTTTTTTAGAAAAGCTCTGGTTATCTCATAGCAACTTTGGGTAGCTTTTCAAGAGTTTTCAAATAAACTTGGTTTGGTATAACGATCTTTTAAAAAAAACTCGAGTTTACAAACACTTTTATCACATAAGCTAATTTTCAATCATAAGTCATAAGTAAGTCGTAAGTTCAAAATTCACTTAAAAGCTATAAGTTAGTTTATCAACTGAGTTTACTGAATATAGTCTAAATAGTCTTTTGACCCTTTGTTAGAAGTGTAGGATAGTGTCAGACGACAAGCGTTAGACAATAGAATGGCTTTATTGAAGTATGGCTTTAGTAAAGTATAATAATATAAACAATTGAAGACTTGATCAACGTTACTAGTAAAGGATATGAAGACTTTATCAAAGTACAAGAAAATGCATAAAGTAAGGGAATATTCTATGGTCCTGCTACGGAACTATTCCGTCGGAGTTTGTAACCGTTAGATAAACTTTTCACGACGGTTATATGATGATTTAACGATTAGAAATCTCGATGAAATGGTTCCGTAACGAGACTGTAGCATTTCCATAAAGTAAGTACACAAAAATACATAGCGAATGATTCGACATAAAGAAACACAATCCAAAATCCAAATATCACCAAAAAAATGCAATTGCGACTAATCAAAGGCCGGACACAAGAAAATTTTGTAACCTTTTTGAGGAAGTATAATGATATACCTATGTGAAGGTGAAGTGCTTAAACCAAAAGTATCTTAAATGAAAAAAAAAAATTGTCACAACAAATGAAATAAAGTTCCAAGTAAAAATGCTCTTTTTAGATATTGTGCTCTCCCGTCCAACTCTATTTGAGAACACTGAAAAACCAACATAAAAAAATCATATTAAATTCTACTATCCATCTAAAGCATTACACCAAATAGAAAAAAATAAAAATAAAAATAAAAATAAAAAATAAAATCCATTAAATCTGATAAAATTCATATACCATGATTTTTAATACAAAACAGAGCTATCTAGATACTCTCATCAGCATTAAAGCTTATTAAAAACTGTCAAAATAGTACATTCACCTTAAACCAAAATAGTCTCCAGTTGGGCTACAAACACCACAAAGACAAACAACACAACACATTTTCCCCTTCATCTCAAGATACCTTTTTACCCTTTTTTTTTTTCTCCCCATTTTCCTTTGGGTTTTGCAATGTAAGCTTAGTAGCTATAGCCCTTGACAAACATGCCCTTTTTCGCCTCCTCGGATTCACCTTCGCCCGTGTATTTTCCGAGCTGCGCAAGTGAGTTGGCCTTGGCCCGAATAAGCAAAGCCTCTTGGGCTGCCTGCACATTTTCCGGGCGGCCTCCCCAAGTCTTGAGGCATGTGTTCTGTAGGGCCCGCGCATAAGAGAACGACACGTGCCACGGGTTCGGGCCCTGGTTCATGGCATTCAGATTCTGTGT